ATCTTGATGTCGAGAGAACATCTCTGTTGGCACGAGCGTGTATTTATTTTTGGCATTATTATTACTTCTACCGCTGTTACTGCTACGCAGTGGTTCCGTAGCCCTTGAAGCGGCAGTTGATGTTGCTACCGTCGCCATCCGAACACCTCCCGATGATGAGCCGCCGTTATCATCGTTGTTACCGCTGCGTTATTCCTTTACCGTGCCCATTTCAGTTTCGCTTATTAGCGGCACTGGAACACTGTGCATACACCGTACATCGAATGTACATACACTTGGCTAGATGCATAATCGGCGAGCACTGCCACGTTCAAGCCAACGGTACCGACACACAGTCGATGAACGGTGGTCACAAACTTAAATGTTTTTATATGTGATGCTGACTAAAAAAGTGGTAGCGGCAGCAGCAATCGGATTGCCTCACGAGAACACACAGTTTACAATGCTATATTGAGTACCCTAAACGCTTCCCGAAGATGGACTGTTCTTTTCCTATTACCTAGCCGATAGAATTGAACGCACTACCAGCGCCTCTGCGATTCGAACGCGTTGGTATTCCACACAAGTTATTGTCTTTCAGTAATGAACTTATGTTTAAATGTCACCCAGTCTGTATTGATTAAGCTATGCAAGGGAATCTCAAGTGATCGTTTCGGCCTGTTTCGTAATAATAATGCTTTATTCGGTAACAGGCGACAAAATCACCGTTCTCATACAAAGTCGTCGTAGTCTCCTCAGGAATCTATGTTTTCACTTGTGCTAAACCCTTCGCAAATAACTACTTTGGTCTTTTTTATAATCCTGTTAATTAAAGTGGTCTGTGAAAACGTAACGGTATTTATATACACTCGTTGGCCTTTTTTTGGTTGTTGTCAAAATGACTAATATTGATTTGATACAACCACTTAAGTCATACATCTCAATATTCTATCGGGCATCGAAGGAGACTGACGACTCGTATGGGAAAAAAGTTTGGAGACAATGACCTTACGACGCAAGATCGATGGTACCATGTTGCATCAAAAATATCACTACTAAAACAACTCGATGTCATACTTATATATGATTTTCAGAGATGTCACATAATACTTCACGAGATGGCCGTGTATTACCGTTACAATCGGATCGGCCCAATGGGGCTGATTGCTTATCGGATCACTTTGACTCGTAAGCTATGATGATTCTTGATGCTAAAGCACTAGCAGTAGCGATGTGCGAATGAAAAATATGGTTGCTTATTCCAAATGGCAAAAAGATCACAATCGTTTCTGGGTTGAAACTCGTCACGACAAGAAGGCAGTTCTCTATGGAGACTGTGTATGTAGATGAGATAGATGTCGTGACGGATGTTGTACTATCGCTTCGGCGCCCGTAAGAAAAAATGGCCGTAGAGTGCTTTCGTTCGTCCTGCTTTTTTCACGACTACTCGGTGAAGTGTCGTTAACAAATGAAATGTTTGGATATGTATCATGGGCTTCACATTATACGAAGTCCTAACGATAAAGCTATCAGCCTTGACCCTGTTTTGCTATTGACTACTTTGGAAAGCATATCGTTCGGTGGAGCATAAGCGACAAAATCAGTCTGCGTTCAGTTAATGCTAAAATGTACACTCGTGTGATTAATGAGCGAGATCTTAGCTTGGTTTCGAACTTCAACCGAACGAAACCACGCTGTGCTCTACGATAAGGCCTTTTAGCTTCATTTTTGAAAGAAGAATCGTATCTTGAAGGGATTGTAGATTTGTTAAACCCTTAAGTGAATTGGGAAGAAAAAGGAAGTATTTGAATTGTGTTGTTGATCATTGTGTCAGTGATTCGAGGAGACGCAGGCAAGCAAATATTGTGCCTATAGAAGCGCTACTTAGGCTTAACAGCCTAAGAAGGGAATGCGTCATGTGAGGAAGCAGTTTTTTCAGAAAAGTCTTGTTGTTGGTAATCATAAGCCAACATAGGTGTAATCACTAATAATAAAACCACTGGTAATTTTTTTAGTTTCATTGATTGAAGGTTATTCGATTGAAACAACATACGATATAGTGTACCAACAAATATTTCACAATGCAATTTGCCGATATGAGTAGTTTATAGACGTCATCCTACAAAGCTTGGAGCTCTTTTCTATTGGTCAATACAGATTCGTCACGTTTTAAGCAAATTTAAACGTTTAAAGTACACATTATACTATTATCTATCGGGCAGATCATTACTATCTAGGGCTACACGATCATCACATTTGTACACAGGGAGTAGAGCTCATAACGGCCCTATTTCAATATCTGGACAACATTTCATTTTATGATACGACAATGTTGATTGTGATTCACTAGGATCGCTATCGATCGAATACAAGCGAAGACTACTTTGAAGTCCTTCGTTCCTTTGACCGTAATTGACTATTTTCCTGTACACCTTCAATTGTAGTCGCTGCACATACTTGATCAATGGCGGAACGAAACAAAATATATTATATCTTGTCCGTAGTCATAGCACTTACAGGATAAATAACCAATTGTAGGAACTGCAAAAATAAGCAGGTGTAGTATAATGTGTTAGTGCTAGAGTGTGTACGGTACTTGACAGCAAGTGTGCATGTAACAAATAATTTGATTTGAATGAAAGGAATTACGACTAAGACGAAGAAAACGGAAATGAAGTCGATGCGTCCTCACGAGACGAACTATTTGGCATAGCACATATAGACATGCACCCATAGACCGCGAACTAGTACGATTCGAGCTGCGGTACCGTGCCGTGTTTCTGTCATCGAATGCATATACGCATACAGAGCGGTGATACTGGAAAACATTTATTCGGCACGCGACCCCCTACGGTCGGCAACTGGACTGAGATTATTTCTCGTATTGGAAGAATTGGACCAGAAACGAATGTAAAAAAAGTGTTAGTAAGGCAATTTAGCACCTTCCTAAGGAACTTTTTACACCAAAGATGCCGTTTTGAGCCGCGTGTTCTGTGCAACATGCCAAACGCGAACAACTTCTGGCAAACTTTTTTTGGAGTGGCTATTGCTCGCATATATGCAGGACCTATCCATAGAATACTAATAACATAAACATTTTGTGAGCACATATATTATATATAAATATATTCATTTAGTAAAGGTTTCCAAGCATAGCCTGAATATGAACGGCCCTTCACACAATCGTCATTATACTACCAGACCTTAAACTAGAAGAGCCGAACATTTTATTGAGAAATATTTGCTAAATATAGCAGAGCCGCCGAAGTGATCTAGCACACTGCCGCAATGATGTTCAGACATTTTCGAAAAAAAACTTCGCGTCGTGATTAATAAATTAAGAGGTCTGACGGACGCAAAACCAGAAATATAGGGGTCTGTCTGATTGCTGATGTTTGTTATCCATCCCACAGCGAAAACATCGCGTCCGAAAATTAATGTAGCAGTCAATGTAATAGCCGACGGTGTTACGGTCATTCAAGAAGATCAGAGTTTACCTCTGGTCAGCGTCTCCATGCAGCCTTTGCATGCACACCCTATCCAAGAAATCGATACGGGTCACCGTTTTGTACGATGCAGTTACGGTCGCGCCTTTAGTCCTTTCGTGCAAAGGTCGACAGGTACATTTATTCATCTCAACAGCGACAATGACAATGACGAGAACAACAACTACTCTTCCAACCATAACTACTGAAAAAAAGAAGCCTTGCAGGATTTTCTTAGGCTTCTTAATGGCTGTAACAGCCTTGTTCGTTGACTTATGCTGTTTAGGAGCGATTTCAAAGGTTCGTTTCACGATCAAGCTTCGTCGATGTGTCTCACAACAGGAAAGACGTCCGTATGTACTTTTATCTACCGAAACATCGAATGATCTTCGTTTCAGCTAGTCACCCCTGATCCCATTTGTTGCAATTAATCATTTTTTGTATGTACGCCTTTGTGGTGATTAAATTGCGAACGGGAGGAAATCACAGATAAAATATGTACATATCCGTGGTATGGAGGCAGCTATTACTTGGCTTAACATTACGGCGTCAATGATTTTTGTCTATGTTGGACCAGTCGAGTTAACTGAAGGTGAGGAAGTGCTACTCTTTGAAATCAGCATGGCAGTGATTCATACGAGACAAGTCGTAAACGTCATAGTCGCATTGACTACTCCGAGTGGCAATTTTGCCTTGACTGATCAACTCCGCAGTGCCTTCAATAAGCTTGTTATTATTAGTTTTTTAGTATTGTTACTAGTACTATATATAAATAGTTATTACCCGTTTTGAAGTCTGCTTATTGGTGAAGGTCTCTCTGACGTCGACTCTTGCCGCGATACCTAGAAATTGTATTATAGTAACGTATCATATTGAGTGTGTGACGCGAAGAAGATACGAAAAATTGAAGTTTTTTCATCGTCCATTATAATTCCATCAATATAGCTCCATGTGACGTTCCCCCGCCAAGGTGTAGAGCCATAGGCAAATGAATAAGTGCGGTAGATTGGTTAAAAGTATAGATTGTGGTACCATCCCTGAAACTCTAGTCCATATTGCGGATGGCAATGCGCAAATATATAGCTTTATAGTTATTGTTTTTACTATTAAAAAATAAGTAAATCAATGAGCATGAAGGCTACGAAGGGCACGGGATGTGTGTTTAGTTGACTACTGCCTTCACGATTTGTTAAATCATGCTCGTGTTTCATTAAGTTATGGTTAGACAAGTTAGGTCACAAAGTAATCAAGTATTCTGGCTTGGTCCTGACAACCCTTTGTTAGTGGCGGCAAGTTGTCGTTACAATTCTAATTAGCAAATCGACGAATTGAGCCTGAAGGTAATAATCGACACAAAGCTCTTATTGTCCGTGTGGCCTAGATATGTATTTCGAGAGACTGAGAGAATATCGTGTAAAAAAGGCGTAGCACCATCTGATGAATTTGCGCGAAAATTATAATCACAGTACCCGTGTGTGAAACCCCATATCATCTGTGTGCTGATAGCTAAAATTTATAATCTTGTTCTATTTTCAGATTTCAGGTTTATTGCTAGTATTTCTAGGAGTGTCCGAGCTCCGCTCCCTGGAACACTCGACGAGAGTGCATATAATCGCCGCGTATATTTTGCTCGCGGCAGCCGGTTTGATCGTATTCGTTAGTCTGCTCGGCTACGTGTCAATATGTCGACTACACCGAGACATGCTCGCATGGGTAGGATGCATCAGACACTGTACAACGATCTATATATGTTTTGCTTTTGGGAACTTGACCCAAGTATCATTTATGCTTCATAGCCCACTATCTTGAAAAGGCTCTTGCTACGTATATTATCTGTAAGCATTGTCGAGTCCAGAATGTAAGCTATTTTCGTATCTAAAGTTTTTAAAGTCCTCCTAAATTTAGGCTGAAACATAATCACTTGTTCTATGCATAGTATTAATTAAACAAATAGACATTAAACACTAAACAATAACCTTTACAAATTGGATTCGTGTTTAAGTTTTTATGAAAACGTCATCGACGAAATGAGATTGCTGTAGTAGAAAATAAATACTTCCCAACATCTGTTAACTTGCAACGTAAATTTCAAATGCTGTGCCAATCAATATTTTTTTCCACAGATACACACAGAATGAAAAGTTTTAAGTTCATTTTATGTATGTTTGCACTGTTTAATTTCATGTGCGGCAGTACGGCGGTTTCCTGGTGATGATTCTATTGCTCGAAACCGCGTGTGGTATTCTCTGTTTTTTCTCCTACGGTTACGTAAGTGTGCACTGGTTCCGCTCTCTAGGTGCAAATTCAAGGGTGTACGAGCTTCCTTGAAGCTTCTGAGAGACTCAAGTTTAAGAATTCAATATGATCAATTCTGTTATTGCCGATCAGAGGGCTGTGGCCTAGTTGCTACGTTATCTGGGATCAGTGCTTTCATATATATGAAGACAACTTTAATTTGATGCCATTAAGCGTTTATAAGATCAGTGGCCATTAGACCCTCGATATTTACTGTTTCATTCTAAAGTCATACATTTTTTCGATGATAATACAATACGCTTATTATTAACGATAACTTTTCTATTTACGTTTAGGTGAGAGCGGAGCTTCAGGCCCAATTTCACTCACTTTTCCTTGAAAAGTATGAAAAGGACGACTTGGCCACGAGAACTGTCGACCGGATACAGCGCGATGTACAGTTAACACAGCTCCTTTTTCTTGAACTGTTCCTCCATAAATATAGAAACTACACACTAACTCGTTAACAGTGTTTTAGCTATTTGTTATCCAAACGCAAAGCTCTATAGATTATCTTGGAGTTTTAGGGAGTTCCTCGAGAAAATCGATTTCAGCGATAATTTTACAGGCTAATTTCAAGACAGAGTATTACAACCCAATCGTTGACGTATACCTTGGTTGAGTATAGGCGGCTGCCTCAAGAATGGTTGAGGTTTTTGCGAATATTAGACCTCAGCGTTTCAAAAATCTCTCCAATTTAATACTCAGGCCCTATCCTATGACAGCTTCGCAGGTCAACTTTAGAGATCTTTTTAATCAAATAATGCAGTGAAAACATGTCGTCTCCTATAGTTGTATATCTTATCAAAATAATTTTCTACAACGAATAAATTAACTTAACAAATTTGATTTCTATCGTCACCTGAAAAATTTAGTTAAATCGTTAAATCATCCGATAAACTAAACAGGAGGTTGATCAATTCGTCAGATAGATTGCCGGCAAATACTACAGCTTGGGAGCCATTTTAAAACATGACGAATACCCAAAACTAGCAAACTAAATTTGTATTACGTACAAAAGAACATTAAGAAAATCAATTCATAAATCCATTAAAATTAATGGCTTATTGCCATTTTTACACGTCAACGAATGTCCAGTGTCCAAATGGGGCACCAGGTAAACAAGAAGCACGCAATACTTCAGAAAGAAACGAAACAAAACGCATTCGCATCATTTATACGCTTTTAATCTCTATTTACCTATTTGTATAATATAAATATTTAGGTTAAAGTGTGATAATAATAAGAATCATTGGGCTGTTTCAGTTAAAATGTTGTGGTATGGTTGGTTTCGAAGACTGGGAAAATTCGGAATGGCGGCGAGAGAAATCAATTTCCTACATTAATTTGGTCCCACCTTCCTGCTGTAAGACGTGGACTGCTTTATGCGGAAGATGGGATATTCCGAATAATATACATTATGACGTACGTATGTTGTTTACGTATTTATGTTGTTCAAATTCGCTGTTAGATGGATTAAACTGTAACTAACATTTTCAGAAGTTGTGTGGTAAAAAAAAGCCAATACTTAGCAACACAGGATACCCATGTGAATTTGACGATGTGATGTAAGCTTGCAAAAGAAACGTCCATCAAGAGCTCGTGTAGAGCTGCTATGGAGGAATACAAATTTATTGTCTAAGATAAAAAATAATAGACAGTCTCCAAAGCGAGATGGGTTGATGTAGTCCGGATATAAACTTAAAACCGTAAAAAAAAGTAAAAGGATGTATTCTTATATGTAGAACTAATAAAAAGGGTGCTCTCTAGAGAAATAGAAAAATCGTATGAGTGTTGTACTACGGATCCATTTGTTAAGATGATGCCCTGTTTCCGGGATGGCACACCTTAGGTTAACCATATTAAAGGTGACGTCTCTGATACCTGGTCGAGGAAATGGAGATATCTACGATAGCTCAAACGATAAGAGCTACCTTGCGCCGCATCCCTAGTGTTCAACGTTCTAAAAATCTATTTAGTAATTTTTCTGAGTGTAAATTTGTAGGAATTTAGTTTAGATATATGCTCTGCTATTTGTTATAAAAATGGATTATTCTTTCCGATTTCGTTGTTCGGTTGTATTTCTGTTATATTTTCGACACAGGGCTGCATCGACGTTATCGCACGTAGGATCGAACGAAATCTATCCTTTATCGCCGGTGTTGGCACAGGCATCTATGTTATACAAATGCTTGGGGTTGTAATGGTCTATATGCTTCATTCCAAGCTAAAAAACTTCGAGGTACGTTTTTCGCAACCTATAGTGATGATGATAGTAATAAAAAGTACTATATATATATATATATATATATATATATATATATATATACATACATACATACATACATACATACATAAACTTGTGCCAATTTTATTGCTATTGTCACAGGTAGCAAATCATTCGGTTTACAACCCCACCCGGCATAACCAGCACCTCTACGACCACGGTTAAACTACGGCAATAAACAGACAGCGCAGTTGAAGAACGGCTTTTTAGTTCTCAAAACTACATAGTACTTAGACTAGTATCTGAAGCAAAAAAAAGAGAGAGAAAGGGAGAGATATGAGACGATATTTGTACTGATGAACAAGAAACAAAGCTGATTCGAAGAAAACTTTACTAGGAACCCCAAATATTTACCTACTTAACATATGTAAACATGGCAAATGAAGCCTACCAATTACTACGGTCAAGCACATCGCATTTTTTGACCTTGTTCAACATTTAAGAAATACCTTTTGTTAACAGATTGCACAGCGATTTCAGCTGATTGTGTACATACGCTGCATCACAAAAACACTGCCATCGTCCCCTTTTTTTTTTGTTTTCGTTTCAACTATGGGTGTTGACATAAGCGCGTGTCAATGCCGGCCAAAACACGCAATTTGCCCATCGTATTACTATCACATAAATCATTCTACCGCAATATGATCTACTTCCGTAAAAAAGCTAACCTGTTGCCGACAAGTGATAAAAAAAAAATTAAAAAAACAGAAAATACAGCAAAGCAATTACTGTAAAAATCTAACGTGCACGCAATAGACGCGATCGGCTGAGGCCCATAGGTTACTCTTTTGCATGAAATGCTGAGAGTACTCCATGCTTCTGCGCCTCGTTCCGCCGTAACCCCAGCGTCCTCAACCATGGAACAAGTTCCTATGGATACCTTGTTAGATTTAATATCTAGCATGGCTCATCCGATTACGTACGTAAGTCATGTTATTCATAACATATTGTTTGAAATGATCACGCCGATAAACAGTTTGAATTCAGTACCATTGCCATTACAGTGTATAATTGTTGTATGACCATGTCTAAAAGCCTTCTCATAAATGTATCGCAGAAGCACAATGTCGTGCTCATATTACTGTCGACGTATTTGAACAATCTGGAAATTCCAGCTGTAATTACAGGGTCTAGTAAATGAATGGCCATTACGTACTTTTACCAATTCAGCAATTCGGAAAGTGTAGAACGAAATTACGCCTGGGATAGGGATTTTTGAAATTGCTCTCTTACGGGCTCCTAGGATCCTATGGGTCAAAAAAACCCAACAATGCTAACAGCATGCATAGGGTACGCTATTATTCATACTCAAATCAACTGAATAGTGGTGCTGTTGAGCGTAAACAAGCTCTTTAACAAAGCTCTCCTATTGTTTCATATGATTTTCAAATTTCTCACGATTTACGCCGTCTATTATCACCGTGCATTTCTTCGCACAAGTGTATCGTCAGATACGTTGAATTTATGACTTTTTTTTATTACGATTCTAAGATTACAAAACGACTGCGTGAGCGAACGTCTACACGATGTATTCACGGATAGAGCAGATCTGATTAGGAGATATCTTTGCTGAAGATACTGCGAAGGCGCGAATATATGTTTGGGCTACTGTGTTTTTTTACCGAATACTGTTGAGAGGGATTGGTACACCTGGAACACCTCGAAGAAAAACACTTGGAATGGCTACAATTGTAACCTGGCTAAGTTAAATCTAATAGTTTTTCTCAACTATTATACAGTTGCCAAATGCTGAGTGTTTGAATTTCATCGTCGAGTGTTTGCCGAGTATCGCATAAAGTCCGTTTTTCTCGCCCTCTTCCGACACAGACACACATAACGATATAGTCGTCGTGTGTCAAATAATATTTTGACTATGTCGATACTGTAATATATTCAATTGATATATATGCTCTATTCTCATTTTATTGACACATAGCCACACGCACGAATTGTGTATATATGTGCAAAGATCTATATGAAGCGTTATTTTATTTATCGAATAACAGGTGGCCATTTTATATGCACGAGGAGCCCATTCTTTTTGTAGCAATTATGGGTATTTGATTCACTTTATTGCTATGATGACCTGCGCTAGTCAGCCAGTCTGTGAACATTGTTTTATGTGATAGGTTTTTCAGCTGTTATCGTTCAGCGGTACCATCAGCAGCAAACATGCCCATGAACACACAGTCGTTGAATCGACACTTGCACACATTTATATAGAATGACAGGCGTGCTACCCATAAACCGACGCTATGAATGCCTGTGTTTATCTCGTAGACCTTGCTTCACTGTCTCAATTTCGATACGTCAATTTGCGACTGGTCAAATTCACACCTAAAAAATTCATCCAGAAACAACATATTTAGAAACGGCGCGCTAAAATCATTCTGTAGCGCCAAATTTAATTATTCAGCATTTGGAGCATACATTCAAAATGGATGCATTCTACTTGTGATCATCATCAACTGACTGCCAATAGTACATATATATTACTACTTTATATCTTAGTCAATCGATGGATACGATGATTCTAGCTAACGAGTGTTCTACGTTTCGAGTGTCACGGTGTCGCTGTTAGATTTTCGATCAGACGGACGACTGGCTTCCAACACGAAATGAAATCTGTGCATGCCCGGGTTCAGACCTAAAGCACGACGTGTAAATTGAAGAAGCCAATGTATGATAAGCATATCAGCACCGTATATATCCTACAAACCGTACACTTAAGCACCAACGGCTCGCTATTGGGGATGATCGCGGCGCGTCCCGTTTGCAAAACTTTGTGGCTGACAGTTTGTACATAAATCATCAAAGTTTAACTGTGTTAACAAATAAAACGTGTGCCTGTTGAAAAGTAGTGACAGTGCCTTCATTCATATATATTGAAACAACAATTTTAAATACTTCCATGCTTTGGAAGACTTTTACCGTGAATTACAAAGCCATTTTCAGTTGGTACTTAGGCTCCATTCATAGCTGTATCGAGACCAAGACAACAAGTATTCGAAGCTGTATAAATTTATTCCATCAGAACATTTAATATCCGTAGAAGTTTAGATACGGGAAAAAGCTTAATTAGGTCATATTAGTACACTACTTAACTAAACTTGGTTTCAAGTCGAACGTACTTTATCACATTTTCGTAATTACATTACAAATAACAGGAAAAAAAGTAAATTTATAGCTAAAACACTTACTATTTCAGCGTAAGTTCACACTTCTTCGATTCTAACAGCCATTATAGAAAATCTAGTTATAAGAAAGAGATTCGCAGTGATGAAAAAGGCGCCGATATGACAAATCAGCAATTTTCCGATTACTGTTCGTTTTAACTGCACACGAGAACTTTTCATGTCTACGATAATACAAATTCGAGAAAAATAATTGCAGCGAAAATTGCCGAAATGATACTGTCGAAGGTAAATTAGTTCTGTCGTGTTAAAATGAGGTGCTTACCACAATTCTTCATGGTACATAATATATTATCACCCGGAGAGAATGTGTTCTATTGTCACCTACACCTCGCATACGCTGGCAAAGCAATTTGAAAGATCAGAAAAAAGTAGGTCGCTGTTTGTTGTAATACGGTGATTGCAACTGCATTAACTGGTATTAGAACTCCCAAATCAGTTCATTAAAAACAAATCAGGAATCTCGCTGGGGTTCAGTTTTGGCATGTTTCTAAGCCGCACTGCGCCCAGAACGCGCAACGCCTCCTGCGGTCTGGTAGGGATAAATAAAATATATTCGGTATAATACATTGACTCTATTTGAAAAAAAAAAGCCTTCGTGGTCGAAAACAAGAGTCTTCATATTGATTGCCGAAACAATCGCTTTGTGATTTTTTCCTGCTCTTCATTCATTCATAGCTAGTTGATATTTAATCATTGTGCAATAGTTATTTCACGAAAATTTAGGAATCCACGTCTCTTACGTTTCATTAAACGCGAACCTTTTTCCGTGATTATCTCGCTGGTCCAAAGTAAACTAATAATAATATGCGCTTTCGATTAGAGTACGAAATCCGCATGTCATCGCCAATAACAACCATCTCCCTGTTCGTGAGACGAGTGCGATGCAGTGCTATGGCAGATAATAAAAAACCCACTTTTCTACCATACGCCAATGGTTTGTAACAATTCATTCTCAACTTAGCAAGTTTTGGCTGAGTTTAGGCGGAACGGCTGAAGTTCTGTCACGAAAAACTACGAAACGAGCATTCACGTAACAGTTACAACATCATTGAACAGCGACGGCTTCATCAGAATGGTTAACATCAGCTTTCGCAGAGGGTACGTTGATATGGTAACCATAGATGAGCAATCATGCTGGCTTAAATTTCAGCATAGACAAAATTATTGTTACAAAGGATTATGATACACTGAAAGAAAAAATAGAAAGAAAAAATTACCAGTAGCTTCGTTTTGAGGCCTAAATCCAACAAGATCCGCCTCCGCTATACTTCTAAAGGGAATAACTGCTTGATATTGTACCAAACGGGTAATTCCAAGGGGCTCTAGAACAGAAGCAAAAAACGCTACAAAACTACCATAATAAGTTAATTTTTTATGACTCAGTAGTATTGTTTATATTTGAAAAGTAAAAGTATACAGTGTCACATATGAATATCTATCTCTGTTTCTAGTAGACAAATGGCCCAGATGTCCCAGTAAATCTCATGCAAACCAATGCTAATGCAAGAGTAGATAAAATTTTGCGGATAATAATGCCTTTCTCAATGAGCAACCATTGAATTAGCTAAAGACTACTCTGCACACGTCTTTGTGCACCCAATGTGATTCAGGCCAACCAGAAAACCTGCATCAAATATTTACTGAAGTTTCCATAATAATGCTCTTGTCAAAATTTCTAGAGGAAGAGTACATTTCACAGTAACAGGAAGGCCAAGAGTACAGCAAAAACTTGAGAGCACTAAAGAATTATGTTCACGTTTGCCTTGAAAAAACCAAAGACCCTGTCTTGTACTCCACATAGCTCCATTTGCTCTCAGAGTCAACACTAACCCTTGCTGTAACGAGACACGAATACAGAATTTGATTTTTATCTGGACTAGAAACCAAAGATAAGTAAGAAGGGTCTTCAGTAAAACAATGTAGACTTTTGCGAGTGTCTCCAAACGATATTATCAATGTCACAGTATAAAGACATGTAGAGCAAAAGCCTGCTGCAAGATCATCTAAGACTGCCCTATGGGCATCACTTGCGTAAGTTGCCCGAGCAGTGTATTATTTGACACAACTTACGTTACACCTAACGTAGTCTCACTTTCTAAAGGCTCTCTAGGCTAAAGCCTAAAATACTCATTAAACCTTATATTTTGCTACATATATACAGTAGGATATATCCCTTTTTCCCAGAAAAGGATTGCAGGTCTAGGCATTTTACATAAGTGGAACCCGGGCTCGGGCCCGTTCAGTATTCAAAGTCCACGAAATGCTTGCCTCCTCGAGATTATCTATAATAGGCCTTTCGTGTAATTTTAGTCCTAATTTGAAATAAATATTAGCAAAAACTAGCCACGAATATGTCTAATAGAAACACTTCTGGTAAGTACTGAATTTCCTAGGACAATTGCACATTTAAAATGCGAATATGTTGTAAACATTTTTGAGAGTAACCTAAAACATAAGGATTCATTCGGTTATTCAGAAGGAAAGACTATTATCATGTTTGTGTAAATTAAATTATCATATTTCTTTATAAGCGAGCTGTAATACAGGAAGACAAAATGAACATCCAAGCGTTTACAAAAAAAGTATCTTAAGACTTCTTTTCTTTAAAGCGTAAGGCTGATGCATATTTTGTGATCTACTTGGAGACGAAGCTGGCCAAAAAGTTTTCTCATGAGAAAGTATCTTCATAGTAAGATGTGAATAGGGCAAAACTGGAAAAACACATATCGAGGTTGCGTGGCTACAAGAGCAAGTGCATCCCACGCACCTCAAGGCTCCGTTCATGGTGGAGTCCAAAAAGACTTCGGAGCTGGAAGTTGTGAGGTACTCTAGGCACCTGAAGGGCCGCCAAAAAATAATACGAAAAAAAAAACTAAAAACAGTTCGTTACCACTGTAATTTCTTGCTCCTGCTATGTAGGCCTAGATTTCCAATGACTCCTTCTAGATCCTACAAGGAAATACGTCGTTGCTAGCTTAGCTTCGAAGCACACTCACGAAACTTCGGACAACATAAAAATAAACTACAAATGCATCTTTGGCAAATTTTAACAAATCTGCTCGTTTCTTCAAAATACTTACCTCATCGGTTCCTCGTGTAAAATGGCAAAATCTGTGTCTACTTTATTCCGTGTTTTAAAACTATAATAAATAGCATTGGTTGGTCTCGATCTTCGCAACCGATTATGTTTCTTGAGATGGTCCGATCGAAATTTGCCGAGCAACACATTTTCGCCAGATTCAGTTCTTAATAGACCTAAGGCTCTGACTTCCGCTATAATAGCACCTTAATATACTCTCTATTTCGAAGTAAAGTAAAATCGAATCGAAGATTGCCGCTGATTATAGAGGACGTTGTGTTCTATCCCTGCCGATGCTAATGCATGCGATGGTAATGCATGGGTATGTCATGCGCTAGTAGAGAATACCGTAAACCACGAAAACGCTGTAGAGTCCCAACGATAATAGGTGAAATAAAATTCAATTGCTTTTTTAAAAGACAGTTTAGTTAATGTCGCCTTCCTTGAACCATATGTCTGCCTCGCTAACCCTATTCTGACAACTACTCAAATCCGGCAGTCTTTTCTGTAGATCTGAAAGACAGAAGACCTTAATCAATTACTTCATTTGAGTTAAACAAAGTGTGTGTCCTGGAACGCATGTTCAGGAAGTGGTCCTGCGCACTAGGGTGTAGTACCAGATTAAAATCGCAGTATCTATATATTTCTTGCTCTAGACACTTTTTTTGTTATCACCAATCTAAATCGTTCCCTAAAAACATGCTAGACAGAGATTTCGAATACTAGTGAAGTGTCACGACAGAAATTCACCGTGATATAGAATCGAAGTTTTTCATATAAAATATTATTATATATACATTCATTCAAATATTTTCATATAATATTTTGATCGGAAGATTGTTGGTTGTGGTTAAGATACTTCTGAACCCTTACATGCGTGCCTCTATATCTGCCTGAAATCCGGACTAATGGAACAATCCTTCAGATTTAAAAAAATAGCTCGTCTGCCGTGTTCTACAATCTGACCCTGTTTTCAAAAGAACTAAATAGAGCAAAGCGGTATTAGTTCATCTTTTATGATGAGCTAATTTGCTAAAATGAAAAAAAAAAGAGTTAAAATAATAAAATAGCGGGTTTTTTAATTTGTTGTCCGTAAATTGCTATTTAGCACCTTTGATGCTTAGTACAACATAAAAACGGAAATTATCTAATTTTTATAAAATTGCCAATGAATAAACAGCACGGAACATTGTATTCAGGAGGAACCCATAGTCTAAATAAAATAAACAGCATGTCTTTGATTTTTTGTGCATAGCCTTTATGATACGCATTCGAAAAGACAGCCTATGGTGAGCTACAATCGTCAGGCATGCACATAAATGCTACTAAAGTGGCCATGATTATCTTTTTGTTTTGCTTTGTTTCACTACCGATTCTGACTAACAGTTTGGCGCCAATAACCCTCTCGCCGAATTCAGCCCTATCGGGCTCGCTGATTGATCGCCAAAAATGGTAAACAAATATGTCTGCCCTCAGTGAGTGTGGGCGAGCAGACGACATCGAATCGAGTTTTTGCTCGGCAGACAGAAAAGTGCAGTGAGAAACAGGGTGCCACAGCACCTCAGCAACAAACCAACAGACCGGTAATAGTCCGACCGAAAGTATTCCTGTTACAGTAAAAGTGCTCCCGCTTTCCCCTCGAATATACGCACACGAAAAACTCTCATAGCCTTAGTGTTGCGTGAGTTGAGCAAGCTGTGAACTAGCAAATTAAACCCGTTCCACGGCCGCGGCCGACATGGCGCAGCCTGGGATCGCGGGCGACAGCAATGCTGGTGGTAGTAGTGCCACTGGCGGTGGTGTCGCTGCCAGGCTAACCACCGAGCCCCCGCCGGGAGGTCCCCAACAGCTCGAAGATATCAAAGATGTCCAGACTCAGCTGAGCAAAACTGGACGTGAACCAGGACCCCTGCAAAGGGCCCGTGACGACGCGGTTTATGGCTTTGCGAGGCCCCATGGCTTAGCAAGTCCCGCCAACTCGCTCGGAACTGAAAGCCTCGTGACGCCAATTACCACCCCCGAACCGAGTGGATCGCCACGCGGCCCCCTTGATCAACCAGGGATTGAATCTGGCCCACCGCCTCTACCTTCACCAGTCATACAAAATACGTATGATAGGCAAGTACCTACAGCACGATATTGTATTAAGTGGGGCTACTGCTTCACCAATGGCACGGCCAGTAGTTGTTTAAACAAGATAAAACAAAAACTAGGGTAATTCATTACTATTACGAGACGATAGCTTACTGCCCGCAAGTTACAATCACTGAATTGGCTGTATTTATATCATCATGTATCATCCATCGATTTGGCTGTCTATGTGCTATTTCGTTTCACAGGGAACGCATTCTCTTCGCCCTCAAAAGTTAATGCGGGGTCTACCACTGTTATTGTGTTTACATTACAGTATGCCACTCACCGAAAACCCCTTTTCAAACCCACTATCCTGAGATCCCGCTGGTGTCTTCATGTACATGAACGAAGAATAATTATAGAATTATGTATCTGTATGGTGCTTGTGTATAGACAGATTAGGAGTTTCTGCTGCAGTAGCTGGTAACATTCCGAATGGCGGTGTTGTCGAAAGCTCTAGAAAAAGTCGCTTCTTTTTTTATTGCCAGTTCTGCCAGCCAGTATTCTGTTAGTAGCAACTGTGAAAGAATAAAAAGGAGCTTGGAGAAAAATCTAGAAACGACTGTGCGATCCTGAACTAACTTACAAATAAATGAACTGGAAGGATTTTTCCTGTGTGAGTATCCGTGATACTGACGTTCAAGCCCTAATTATGTCATATGTACCCCCTTTCCATCCTTACCTTGGCAATATCTGACGCTCTGTTTGGATTGCCAGCAATGTAAACAAATGAACAATGCGGTTCTCCCTATCAATCGCTATTTAACGGTTAGCCAAGTAAACTTCTTTTCTGTGTCATCGCCATATCACAGATGCTGATGCAAGATCAGCCCCACTGACCGCCGAGGGACTAACTAACAAATTTGCAGTTGTCTCCTACGGCGACTTGATTGTACATCTCCTACCTAGGTATAGTAACTTCTTACGCTTCGATTATGCAACGGGCGGAAAGTGGCTGTCGTTTCCAGCCAACATTGTCAAGAAGATAATGGTTATGTTTTAGGATGAAGGAGGTGGGTAGTGGCAGCACTGTTTGCGGTAACCGCCGCTCGCTGCTGAGCAAGGAGGAGCTTTTAGTCACTGCGTAACTCCATTTCCTCCACCTCTGTCGCATTTTAGCAATGACCGTCTGTCCGAATGTTCATTTGTGTGTGTTGCCTTTTCTGTTTTTTCCACTTTATGGCAGCCGCCACCGCCACTGCCTGCATCTCTGTTACAGACCCCTATTTGTGTCAACATAAATACATATATATAGAAATGCACTGCATCAGTTGCATTGACGTTGCTGCTACTCTCTTAATTACGTTATACCGTCGCTTGTATAACGTATTGTTATACCGATTATTGTTGTTAATTACAGCTTCTTTTGACGCTGCTATTTTTCTCTCGCCCTAGCGTGCACACGAGCTCTGTCTCACCCATTTCCTATAATTTGATTGTGGGTGTGCCTGTATGTCCCGTGTGTGTATTTAACATGTGTTTAGGTTTGCCTGCCGTTGTACAGGCTAATCGGTTATTAGGCTTAGTTCAAGCCGTCTTCTGTCTAGTATGCTGGTGATTTGCTTGACGCCGGCGTTACTACTTGAGAGGTTACTTTAGTGCCTCCCCCTGTTCCTTTCTTGCTTCTTCGCTGTTTTCTTTCGCAGTGCTGCTGCATCTGTGGTAGCGACCTTCTTGTCTGCGGTAAAATGTGTTGCTGCAATAGTACACTCACGCATGTATTGTGCGTTACCTGCAGCAGAATTGCGCCTGCTACTGGTGGTGCCCACGATCATCTTTGTGTAGTAGCGACTTCTGGCGACTAGACTAGGCCGAATTGCCATTGCTGCTACGGGTTGGTGGAACAACTAGCGAGCGAATTTCAGCGACGAATGACACGACGACGCTCTGCGACTATTACTGATGCAGCGGCCCCTGCCCCGCCAGTCTTCCAGACGACCAGAAAGACAGACCGACTACCACACCGTCACTTTACCTACCTAGAAAGCAGCGTAACAGCAATACAACAGCAGCAGCACTGTGGCTTTCTACCACATCAACGACGCTACTTATCATCAACGGCGACACGAGCGGCAAAGGGCAGCGTCGCCAGTCTGCCACTACCAAACACACGCACCATGCACGCTAGTTGCGTTTGCCACTGCAGCGACGACAGTGGCTACAGCATTAATAATCAATGGTGGTAGCGCAAGGAACAAGCGCTGCCAGTGAGGGGCGACGGCAGCAGCGCCATTGCCACTTGCCCATCCATTTCGCAGCTTTGTTGTGCAATGTCGTTGCCTTTTTGTTGTTAATGCTGCTGTTACCATGGCATAGCTACTACTTCATGACACTAGTAATCCGTTTATTGCTGCTACCCGTACAGTTGTTGTTGTGGCGGCAGCTCTTTCTGTGGGATCTGGATGGACGTTTTGTCAGCTGGTTGTTGTTTTCGCCGCCACTGCGGTGGTTTATTGTTGCTAATACGGCGGAGGTAGCGTTTACTCCTGACGCTGGTGCTCCCTTTTTCCATAGTTTTCGGTGAGCAGCAGAACGGTGGTCACACGGCGCAGTGCGACGGCCATACATCGTTGGCATCTGCGGCACCGCTGTCGACAACAGTATCGTCAGGAAGAGTTATACCAGTGGTAGCTGTGCTAGCCCTAGTAGAAGTAATACTAATATCGGTAGGAACTGTGATAGTTGGAGAAAGAATGGTTGTAGGTAATAGCTAATTCGCCGGTTCGGCCGATCATCAGTCAGGGAGGCTGGAGGCTGACAGTCGGACAAACCGTTAGCCGCGGGCAAGAAAACACTAGCCGTTGATGACGGAACAGTTATCGTAGCTTGTAATGTGGTAAATTGAGCCGAGAAGGGGAGCATACAGGATGACGAGGGGAATAGGTATAAGGCAGGAAGCACAGGAAAAGCCTATACTGTAAGAACGAATGAGACGGGGACGAAGAATATGCGGCCGAACGCGGGAGGAACGGCCACCGGCCCGGAGGGCTTAGGAAATGGTCAATCGTTCGCAAAGCGAGGAAACGGGAGAATACTCTCCGAGTATGTCTATGACTTTGAATCTCTATCCTGTCAGCCTCGACCAGCATCGCCTGTCGATCATACAAGCAGCCGTGAATGGCTACTAGTAGATTTCTGTCGGTAGCCTCCATTGTAGTATAGATCATAAATTCATAAAAGTACTGAAGCGATTGCATGGTTTACTTGTAGCAGTTCGTTGGAACTCGTTGATAAACACGAGCAGAGCGGAAAACATGTGGGAGAACTTCAAACGGACGGACATACGAACTCGAAGAGAATTACTAACTAAAAACCGTCACAATTATGAATATACTACATTTATTCTACCACAAATATCGACCACGTTGAGCTACAAGTGGCGGACAAATAAATTGTACACTAAAAACACTGCACTTGTTTCCGTTCATCCGCCCTTCTGTGCTTCGCAGCTTTGTTTGTTTCTGTCCTTTTGGCCCTTCCACCTTCTGGACAATCTTTTCATCTGTGTTGCTATTACTGTCGTTGTCTAACGCTGCTACTGTCGATGACAATTATTAGCACAATGGTTTGCGAGCATAGCTTAAGACGCGCAGTCGTTGTCACTCTTTTGGCGAGCTGCTCTAAAAGCGGGGGGCATCGTGTTGGCACACGCGAGCCACGTAGACGAAATGTTGGACAAAAATGACTAGAAAGTGCCACATTTGTGCGGCGACTGAAGGGCCAGGTAAAGTCGAGTCTCTCTAGTGCTCACACAACAGACCGCCTTACTAGAACAGAGTCATGCATGTATTACACATCATCAGTAGCGTACTGTGGTTGCTGCAGCAATGCCTACTAGCTTGCCACGGCTATCGTACCTCAGCGACACATCTGCTAGAAGTATAATAGACGAACGCCTGTAGTTGTAGACCAAGATTTTAATAGACGCAACGAGACAACGACGGAAAGCACCATACAGTTATAACTATACAGTTCATGATTATCCGTAGCAATCACTGCCTTTTAAGTCCAGTAAGAGTCGAACTGACGTGATAAATCTAACGAAATTGGTCGAATTCGAAAGAAATTTGTGATAGGGAAACCAGAAAGATGATGAAATTGATTGCATCAATATGCAGAGAGATCGAAGAATATTTCAAGCGAACGATGCTGACCTGATTTATTCAAGACAAACGAACACACCGGTGGACGAAGAGCGATCTACCTGTCGGTACACCCAAAAAGATCACGTCACTACACAGTAGCCTATACCTGTTGTTCTGAGTCACCTTAAGATGTTAGCCATTTGTACTTATTGATTAGACACAACGCTCCCAAACGTAATTGACAGCGAGAAAAAAGAAAGTATTGAATATTTGTGCCTCTCAATGGTAATAATAATAATCATTATTATATGTGCATCTTGAAGTAATATGGCAGAACGAATTCATTCGGGAAACTATTCAAGCAGCATTTTATTATCATGCTATAATTTTTTAGTTAATAAAATTTCTCATTTTCCTGCCTCTCTCTTTTCCGCTCTGTTGAGCGGATTGTCAATTTAATTCCAGTACTTACTGTTTGTTTGAAGAGGTTAACTCATGGTTTGTATTCATTTCTGCAGGTATATGCCAACACCTCCGATGGTTATGCCTCAATATATGACCACCTACGCAGGTTACTACTCACAACCGGTGTACGTTGTTCACTCTGGAACGGGGATTCCGCCTTCGCAGGCCGGGTTTGGCCTGCAGCCCGTACACCCGATGCAGGCTCACGGTCACCACTACCTACCTCACCCACTGGAGCAGGTGCACCATCCTGTGCCTTATGACTTCTCGGTGCCCCCTCCAAACTATACCTATGTGCCAATGGCCCCGCCCCCTCATCCGCCCCCAATGTTGGCAGCACATCCTCCACCGTTTAACATACCCGGCCCAACAGTGTACAAAATCCCTGATCGTTTTGTGCCGCTTGAAGGAGCACACCCTATGGGAGCAGGAAGCATGGGAGGCATGCATCACGAACGCATGCAACCTTTGCCTTCTGGTGAAATACTTATGGAGCCTGTAAACTGCGAAGCCTTGGATGACGGAACACAGTCACAGGGGCCAAATAGTGACTTGCGTTCGTCCAATGACGGCCGCCAGCAGTTCAGCCAGCATCACTTTGTCACGGGGCAGGAAGATCCGGATGTCGCCGAAGTCATTGAGATCATTGAAGAAATTCACTTCGAACGACCAAAAGGTTATCAGCCTAACACAGGCGATGAGGCGACATACGTCGAGGAGCACATTAAAGCTGGTGCCGTTACTCCTAGCGACGACGGATGTGATCGTAGGTCTCAAAAAAGCTGGTACGACGAGTGCACTACGCAAGAACAAAAGGCTGCCGACAACGCCGAGATAAAAGAGGTTGGGGTAGTTGTCACAAATTCACACCTTCTGCAAAAGCAACCACCTGGGCAACACAGAGCTGAAGAGGCCCAACATGCGACTCGTATTACCGAAGGGAAACAGTCTGAGACTCGACAAGCGATGACATCTGCTGCTGCTGCCGCCGATCGCGGCAGTAATGTCATGAATAGCCACCACAACCACATCCGTCAAAATTCTCACGGAGATTCTGGCCCCAGGGATGGCGACGGATACCATCACCGCCGAAGAGACGATGCAAGGGACGGCCGACAAGGCGATTCCAGAGACTCCACTCGGGAACGCTCTGGCGGACGTTTCGACAACCACGGTCGCAGGAGCCTTACGCCAGAAAAACGGTTTCATCGAAATAACCCAAATTACGGAAATGGCGGTAGTTGCCAGAGGGAGGATTGTCGATATTCCAATCCAGAGCATGGTGCTACCCATCTCCGGGCGCGCCGTCCTCGAGGCGGTTATGATCAGGCTTCATCCAGGGAGAACTCGACTGGCCGAAGAGACAATAATGGAAACAATAACAATAATCGTCAGAGATATTACCCCTCACCGAAACGGGATAGTCATGATCATCGGTATGACAACCACGGTGGGCGGCGCTACGATAGCAGTCTGCGCCGTGGGACCTCAGGCAGCTACCGTCAGCAATGGAGGGACGGCAGTCTCCCTTCGATTTCTCGTGGAGGCAATAGCTTGCACGGCAATGTCACAAACAACAACAGCAGTGGCGGCAATAACAACACTAATTCCCGAAAGCCGCCTCTGCCGCGACAAGACAGCAACAGCTGCTACTCAGCCGCACCAGTGGCCACCACCAACGGGACAGCATCCTTTCCTGTTAGCACCGAGGTCGCCAGCTTGAAGGATACTTCGTCTGGAGTAGGTCCATCTCATCTAAGCGCGGAGAAGTCGAAAGATCGCTCTGACGAGGATCCTTCATACCTCGAGTTTCTCGGCCCATCGTTTCTCGGTATCAACGATCGTCTTGATGTCAAGGGCATGATGAGTCGAAGGCAGGCTGTGTCGATGGACAGCAGCAGCGATGATGGCGAGCACAATACGGATCACGCGAACGGTAACATCAGTAATACTAGTAATATCAACAGCAGTAAGCAGCTTGATCTAGGCAACAAACGAGGTGGTTTTGGTGGTCATCATTCAAATCTATGTCAGGCCCGCAAAGACCACCGTCATGAGTGAAAAGGGTTCTAGTGAGTGAGTTAGTGAGTTTAAGCATGTGCATGGGAATGTTGGACTTGTACAGGTTGTAGGAGATGCCATCAATGAAAACCCAGTTTAGGCTCTAACTGGATGGCAAAATGGGAAAATCTAGAGGGACAGAATTGCCGGCTCTGTTATGGTGGGTTTATCCGCGGTAGGGGGTTGGACCTAAGCGTTGAGAGAACATCTTGACGGTAGGATATATTGTTGTACTAATGGCTCGAGCAAAGCCGGTGGACTGTTGGTGAGAAAATGGCACTGCACTAGTATATATTATATATATACATAGATATATATTATTAGTTATACAAAATATATATATATATATATATATATACATATATATATAATCAAATTTAGTGGCGATGATGAAGATAAGAACTATGATGTAAGTCTAATGATGTAAAAAGTAACTGATACTTGAGGTGAGAGAAATGTAAATGTTTGCAAAAGAAAGTGAGACAGAGAAGCTGAAAGGTGTGGGAAGTAAATGTATAAGTGATGAAGAAAAGACAAATTGGGAAAGATAGCGAAAAGACAAAGAGCCTAGAATATGGTTGAGAGGATAAGAGCGAGTCTTAAGCGAGTGCCATGTGCTACAAGCATTGAGTGTGGGTACAAATGAAATGAGTTTTGCTGTGGATGTGGATTACTCATCGCGAAATACATAAAACATAGATGCACACACACATAGAAATAGAATCACATACACAGGCAGATTAATGTCAATTATGTGAGAACTGAACTTGAACTGAATACAATCCTAGCTGAGACCAGCTGCATGCATTTATTGTACAAACGCACGTGCATAGATTATGTAATCATGGTAGAGTGCACAAGCTATACCAATGAGCCGGTTAGCTCAAGGGAAATAGTTTTACAAAAAAAATGTAAGCACTCGTACCCGTATATCGTGTCGAGTTTGATTTTCTTTTAAGATAACCCCGTTTAAGCCGTACCAGATCATGCTGTACCGCTGCACCTGCATATAAAGGGTTCGCGCCTTAGCTATATTTCTCCGTAGTAACGGTGGTGGCATGACTCAACATATCGTATCATACCAACTATTTTATCTTTAATATCTTTTCTTCTATCCAGGTGAATCGGTTGGCTGAGAATATGACAAAATGCACTCTAAAGCCCATAAAAAGTGACTCAATTTCTTCTCTGTGTTACAGATGCTTACAATTATGATATAATAATATCATGTGTATTTAACTACTACGCATATCCTTAATTCTAACTAGAGAGTACATATATACAGTGCAAAGTGACTAAAATAAAGAACGAAGGAGATGACCTGTGTGGATTCGCGTGCGCGCGAGCTTCTCCACATTTGTTTTAGAGAAAAGCGCTATTCTATCTACTGCTAACAATAACAGTATACCATAGTTGTTTTTGTTTTGTTGTCGCCACAACTCAACCAATGCTCCGCGTGAACTAACGTTTGTTATTAGACGGTGCACAAGAGGCATGCACACAAGTATGATTAACCATACGGTTACTCACTTTTTGGAAGGCGTCCGTTGCTGGCGCCTTTCGAAAAAAGAAGACGGACTGCAGATGACGATTTTTTAAAGTTTAATATAGTGGCTTACAACTATGTATTGTGTATTTCTTAACGAGCTACACCGATGTGGGATATTAGCACAAAAACACTTAGTGTGCATGGAAAACCACGAAATGACGTAGTGAACGGGCGGTGAAATATGGATAAAAAGAGAAAAGAGTAAGCAGGCTTGAACCATATACGTTATATACAGGGCATAAAAACAGTTGGATCTGTTATAGTTTGTAGATGATTGGTTCACGTATAGCGCACTTACTTCGACATTCGACCACATAGTGTAAATCAGGCACGCACGTCACTCGTTGCTTACCCAAAAGGTCTTTATTTCTCCAACTTTCTAGCGTACGTTCGGATCTGAGGTTATTGTAAAGTATCAAGTTTAGCCTTAATGCCAACTTTTATATGATCGAACCTGTCTAATCCGAAGTGCTACTAAGTTGCAGGCCTAGACATACACGTAAAACAGGCCGATTTAGCTTCGGCATATTTTGTATATAAATTTACACACTTTCATTATAAGTATGGGGAAAAACTGTTTTATTGTTTAAGGAGGTTTATTGTTTATTTTTACTAAATATAAGCTGACCCAGCAGTTAATTTTGTGTTTGCTGCGATAGGGAATAAGAAAATGCCATGAGGCAAGGTCCGATATAATAGTACATTGGACCTTTCGTCATGAAATACACGAGAGAAGACGAATAGAATACTAGAGAGTAGTGGACAACATAATAAAGATGTGTAAAGTGAGAAGGGAAAAGACAGAAGTCAAGGATGATATAATGAGTCTATCAGAACAAATACAAAGGTTTTGTTGCTGTGGATCAAGCCAATGTCCACCAAATCAACCAAGCAATTTGCATTGAGCAAGTCAGATCAAATAGGTGCCGAAGCTAAGGCCAAACTAATATCTGGTATGAATATATAATACTCTGCACTATAACTTCGGACCCCAAAAATGCGCTATGGAGTTAGAGAAATATATATACTCTAAGTAGAAATTAGAATACGTATAGTACTTATATATACATTCCTTTATTATAATTATATTATCATTGTAAGTATTTGAGATACGCTCATAGAGAGAAGGAGCTAGATTTTCTGGCCGTCAGACTACACTATGTTTTCAGCCAATCGATTCACGTAATAAGTAGAAAACGTAGAGATAAAATAGCTGGTATGATATTATATAGAGTTAATAATAATTGGTATGATATTAGAGAGATATAGCTAAATTGCTAACTCTTTGTATGTAACTGCACAATGATCTGGTGCGGCTCAGAAGAAATTACCTTAAAAAACGGTAGACTCGAACGATAGCCATACATACGTGATTACATTACTTGTTTGGCTTGAACGGCATGTATGGTGGGCAAGTTTGATAAAAATTTGCAATTCGCATAAAAATAAAGATTCGCAATTATGTCGATTTATGTTACAAGTGGTTTGCTTCTGTCATGGATTCCGAAGGCGGCAGGAATCCCGCATATTTTCACTATGGTGTGTGCTTCAAGGATCATTGGTAATTCCAGGCTGGCTACTAGTCAATTCACAGAAATCATGAATCAGCATCAACGTTGTCAAAACACTGAATTTCTCAGGCCGACATCTTATGACCACATACCACTATAATACATATAATATACCACTGTGTCTATGGTTTGCTTTTTGCAATTCTGTTTTGTATGACACTAATGCTAGCGCACTTTACCATGGTTACATGATCTACCTATGGACATTTGTGCAATAGATGCATGCAAGTGGCCTCAGATAGGGTTGTTCCCAAATAAGTTCAACTCGCACGTAGTCAATCTGAATTTATCTGCGTATGTGACTCTATATGTATATATCTATATTTGTATGTATTTCGTTCTACGATGATTGATCCACATCCGTGACACAGCCCACCTCATCCGCACCTACACAAGTACTACGTAAGATTCCCAGGGCAGCAGGGGTCCCGCATATTTTGACTGTGGTATGTACGTGTGCCTCAAAGATCATTGGTGACTCCTGGATGGCTTGTACAGGCTCTCGCCGGAGCTGAAAGTGCTGGGTTTCAGCATTTAAATGCTAGCCATGTACTACTGTTTCTCTAATTGCACATTTTGCCGTCTCCTGTACGTGAGTCGCCGTCAAATGATTACTGCTACTATCGATATATTATAGCTATTGCTACGCATTTTTTATATCAAAATACAATTGATCACTACTATGAAATGTTATCCACTTATCGACAGACTTGTAGATAAACAAACCGTTGTGCATTTTTAATGTGACCTTCCTTCTCCTTTCGCGTGTAACAGACGAGAGGACGAACAGGCCACAACAAAACGAATCCAGACATTCTAACACGTCTCAGATAGGAATTACTGTGAGGATTATTTTTGTCAATCTATATTTTCTGTTATTGATGTTAATATTATTAGAAGTAGTAACGGAATATTGTGCTGTTTGTTATGCGACATGGTTTGAGTTATATATCGTATTTAAAAGGAGAGCAAGAAGACAGTGCAGATAAGATAATAAAGATGAAAAATTATAAAGGAAATGGTGACAATATAAAAGCAAGCATTGCCTAACAAAAAAAATATTTATATCTTAATTTGGTAATATTGTTATTATTATTGTAATGGCACCAAAAAGATGATATATGGTTTTTAGGACGGCTGTAAAGCCACATAGGGTTAAGAATTGACAGAAATTGCTTTTTGATGATAAAGCTAAAATACTGACGAAAATAATATCATTGAGAACAATAAATAGTGCGTACATGAGTAATAAAATACTGTAAAAATAATAAAAATATTATACAATTTAATAAAAGCCACATGATCCGTAAGACAAATATCTAATCGATATCAAGCGATTCATGCAAGAGTAAGTCTTTCTTAGTAGTCTAACAACCTCAACTGCTATATATATA